ATTTCTTTGAAACTTCATCATCAGCCTGGAACTTTAAGAAAGACCTCAGAAATGAAATTAAATTTCTGATAATATCTTGAAAGCTGAAAGCTGGCAAAACTGAAAAAAAAAATCTACTCGTCTCAGCAGGCTCAACACTGTGGGTTTTGCATGCATAGGAGATTTTTTATAAAAATGGAAGGCAGCCAATGTTAACCGTGACCATGTTTGTGTTAGTTTTGTTCTACTGTTTGCAGTATAAAATTCTAAATTGTAATGTCCCAGTAGCTAAGCTGCAGGTGGGAAAAGTTTAAAAGAATGAAGAGGTAAGAATAGAAAGTGCTATTTCTAATACCATGCCCACTCATGGTGAGGCTAATAAGTGTTAGCAACTTATAAATACGAACTATAGACTAAAGTATTTAATGTTTGCTACAGATTAAGGAATACAAGAAATCCTAGTTAAAATTAGATATTCTATTTTTTACATGGATTTTATAACATATAAACTCAATTCCTTAAGAGTTTAATTTCATGCTAGAAGTTCTTTATTTTAGTTTTGCACTGTTGAACAAATAGGTTTCATGTGTAATACTGTGATATATTTTCCTAGAGTTGTGGGAATATAAAAGAAAGTAATACCAACATCTGGAGCTTCAATACAATGGTGATGAGTATTTTAATTCAAAATCTTTAAGACAAAGTAAGGTCCTGGAAATTATTCTGAAGACTAGCTGTTTACAAATATTTTACCAATTTTTCTGTATTAAAGGACCTTCATTTTTGTCTTTTTGTGTTCTTTTTTCAATATGTGTCATACAATAGACTTGCTCTTATGGACTTGATCCTCCAAAGAGAGGTAGAGGGTGGTATTTGGCAGGAATAAAAAGAGAGGGCAAYAGGAAAGGGAGAAGGAGGAGAAGACTGAATGGGAGAAGGAGGAGAAGACTGAAGGTAGACCAAGAGGCAAAGGAGATTGAGGGAGAAATTCCAAGTGCCGGCCTGCTTCCTCCTGGAAAAACACTGACACTGCAACATCAAGTGTTCAAGATTACCACCATGAGAGTTTTTTGATGTGGTGTCTTTTATCTCTCTCTTTTTTTTTTTTTTTTTTTTTTTTTTGTGTGTGTGTGTTTGTGACTGACACAGTTTTTAATGACATATTCAGACAATTTTTCCCCCTTCCCCTCACAGGAAGTCTCATCCTGGGATCTTTAATAAAAATCTCCAGGACTTCTGCCTCCCTAGATGCAAAAGTGGGAAGTACAGATCTTTAAATAATGGTGATTATGGGACTCCCAGGAACTGAACAGAAATATTGGATACTGAGCTAGGGATGGGAGAGAGATGGGCCCTACAGCACGAGTCTGAATGATTCTTACAAGGATATACTGATGAAGCTAAGGGATAATAGAGGGGGTCTTGAAAGAAATGCAGTCTGAAGAAGTTCCAGCATGGTTCTTTGCACTTTGCAAACACTTAAATGATCAGCAGATGCACCCCAGAAGGATTTACCTGATCTGTGAATGGAACCTAGTCCAAAGTTTAATATAGACAATGATGCCCTAGGATAGTTGACTTGTACTCCTGCCTCTAACTCTCTGACACAACATTTTGCAGTTATATTAATCATTTCTCTTTTGTTTTTCCTTTGAGGCAGGGCGCGGCTTGGGGAGGGGAGAGAGGAGGATGATCATGGTGGTGGCTCATTGTTCATTCTTTGTTTTCTGCATGCAGTAATTTGCATTATTCCAGGGCCTGGTTCGTCCTTGACTGTAGGTTGGGAGAGAGAGCAGGAAAGGAGAGAAGAGAGTTACTGTGCCTCTTCTGCAAAGCTGCCCACTGGCCCTGGCATTGTGCCTGGTATGCCAGGTGGTGCTGGAGTCATGCCTCTCTTCTTTTTCCTCTTGACTGTAGTCTGCTCACCTGGAAAATATACAATGTCCAACCTCAGAGCTAGCTGGGCAACCTGAGCCTTGTTAATAGTGGCAAAAGGATGTTCAGGTAACTGAAGACAAAACTAAGTCCATTGTTCCTTCTTTAGATTTCATTCAGATTGTTCATAAAACTCTTCCCAACAAAAATAGAAAAGGACTATGTTATGGCGCTACGTTATCAAATGTCTTGTTTGCGTATTTCAAATTATGCATTTCAAATGCATAAACATGTCTTAAAAATAAGCAATAAGCAGTTCTGTAGCAGTACCTTCTTTTTTTAATTAACAATTTATTCATGCAATTTGTACCAAATTATCAGGAATCTTGAATTAGCCAAGTAAGTCTGAGGCAGTTCATTTTATGAAAACTTTTTTGTCATTGGCACTATTATAGGTGATGTGGTAAATATATTTGTAGTTAGGACCGCCTCACACTTTCTAATACTGATCCTATTTGCTTATTAATGCAAATGTACAAGCAGTAACATGACACCTGGATTTGGAAATATTTGCAAGATCACATTTTTACTGAAAAAGAGTCAACTGCTATAAGTTGATCCACCACCATGGACTTCACTGTAGCTTCTTCAAACTCCAGCAGCTTAACATTTATTCTGTAGTAATCTTGTTGAAAATCAATGGATCCGCTCAGTCAGAAGCATGATGTTAGGCAGTAAGTTTTGGGTTCAACACTTGCATTATTGTTAGTAAAATTGGATTGCAGAAGCAAAGATGTCAGGTGTGAATGGCTACTCTGCTGGGATGAAAAAAAAGATAGAAGTAAAACTGTAAGTTCATGTGATCTTGAGCTGGCCTACAGTGAGTAGAAATGATTTTCCATTTTTCCAGGTGAGCAGAGAATAACTTAGTCTTTCTGAAAGACATTGTTAGGGAGAGAAAGATGTTCTTTGCTCATCTCCAGAAATAAATAAGCTAACATATCTATCTAGCCATCAGTGGAGATGGATCAATTTGTCCTTAGGAGGTTTGAAAGCTGTGTTAGGATGTATTTGCTTTCTCATGAGTTTGGTAATAGACTAAGAAAAGTAGAGCCCCATGCCCAGTAGGTCTATGTATGTAGTCAACTCCCAGATTCTCTCAGTGCTTTGGGGAGGAGAGAGGGGTGAAGGAGAGAAGAAAAAAGGACCTTGCCTGTGAAATCCAAGTAGTGGGTAGACCACACCTACTTCTATGAACATGAGAAAATGACTTGTTTTTGCAGTCTTTTGAAAACCATTTGCATAAAGTTATATTTGAAATGAATTTAAAACATCTATCCCATACTTAGAAGATGATTGAAAAGAAAGAAGGGAGCTTGGCATATCAACATTTCAGAAAAAAAGACAAGCAGTCTTTTGTTAATACTGGGGATTAGCAACTAGAATAGCTCAACCTTTAATCCAGGAAATTACCCAGTAAAATGAGACCAGTTAACATTTCTAAGTACTTAAAATATTTATAGGAGCAAGAGGCAGATTTGCAACAGTGTTTAGGTGTCTACTAGATACACTTTTTTCTCTAGGTGACCAATGTTTTTAAAAATGCTTATGCTATTTATTCTCAAAGGTTAAATAGGAGACAGATACCAAGGGGGCATTTAACTAACCAACACCATAGAGGCTGAGAAGACCACTAGATGCTTTTCTTCATCTCAGTGCACTTCACTACCACTGACAACCAGTCTCCAATTTCCTGATGTTGTCATCTTGTAACCAGAAGCTTCTGTCAATAGGAAAAGAATGTGACATTCTTTTTTCATCAAATGAGTAGGCAAAAGCACAGAGATGGTGAATGTGATTTTTGATCAGAGACCATTCTGGTTACCTAAATTGGTACCTAAAAATCATGTTCTTTTCATTAGAGTGGTTTGATTGCAGGTAAGGGCTAGAAGTTCCATTCAATGCATCACAAAAAAAAAAAAAAAAAATCAGAGGGTGAAAAATAGACTCAAAGAGCTTGAATCACCCTTATGTGCTGAGAAACATCAGCGTCATAAGGAGTACAAAGCACAAAGCACCGAAGGAGACAAAGCTTAATGAAATGTTTTTCCATATATATCACATTTGTCCGTGAAACCGTGTATTTTCTAGGTTACCAGTTGGACCATAGGTTCACTGAAGTAATTAAAAGTATATTTTTTCAGTCTAACTTCAAATCAAAAATATAGTTTTCATCCATGACCGTAAAGGGACACAGRGATTTTTGTTTTTGTGTTTTCATTATATTAACTTTTTTTTTATGCTGAAAATAATCTCAAACAATAAACATACTCATTTTATATAACTTAAAAGAACATCTTTATGCCTACTCTGTTGTTCAATAATTTGCAATGATACCATCCCACAGTCTTAGATTGTTAAGATTATTTCTTTTCTCCACATGGGAAAAAAAAAGAAGAAAGAAAAAAAAAACAGCAAAGAATAAGTCTTGAAAGAGATTTCTATAAAGTGCAAAACAGTAAACAGAACTAAAAAAAAAAAGAGATTTTTAAAAAATATTTTGATCCTGGTTTATCTGAGAAAACAATATCTGAAAAAAAAAGATAAATTTAGTTTGTACAATAATGTTCCTTTACTTTTATCTGTCTGCAGTTTTCTAGGATTCACTATTTTTTTTTTCTTTCTTTAAATTCTAAGTGATAAGAATAAAGATCAAAAATGAATCTCATTCATAACAAAAACACTATCTGTTAAAAAAACCCGAAAACTTAATGGTAGTATTTCCTTCCGTTTCTTCTCCTAAAATTATGTGTCCTAACATTATTTCAGGTTTTGTACTGTTTGGGCTTGCTGTTATACCTAAAGCGTTCATGGATACTTTAATGGGAGAGCATTTCATGCTCYTTTGCTGTTGTCTTCTCTGTCTCTCTCCTGATCAGACAATGCACCCAGGGAGCAGCTGGTTTGCTTACTCCTTTTGTCTTTGAAAGATCTTACACCTAGATAGAGCTAAGAGTGGATGAGCAGTCAAGCTTCTGAGACTTTCAGATCTGACTGTGATTCTTTAAACTTTAAATACAAAGCTGTGTATAAAAACTGCAGATTTCTAACAATAGCACTCCTTTCTTTTTCCCCTCCATTTTTAGGCTTACTTTAACCTTATCCTGTCCCATGGACTTGAAGAATTTTCCTATGGATGTACAGACATGTACAATGCAACTAGAGAGCTGTGAGTGTGCATTTACTTTACCTAGCCAAGAACAAATATTACTATAACTTTTAGGGAGTTAGGTAGTGTCTACATTGTTTTATCTGTGTAGTGAGACTTAATATCAATATGGAAGACTTGTATTTTAACTGTCCATCACCTTATAATGCCAGTCCTTGCTCTCTATGCTGCCCCAATTCCCTCCCCCACCCTCTTCCATGGAGCATTACATCTCCCATCAGCATTGCTCTTTTTCTGGCTTAAAATCCAGCACATCAGTGCTGTACAGGGGAAAATAAATCTCAGGAAAGTAAGAACGAGTATGTAATTAAAGATGAGCTATGTCAGATCTAGAGATGCTTAAAAATGCAAGCCACAAACTCAATGAAACACAGGCTCTTCTGACTTTATCTGCACTAGTAGTTTAAGCATAGCCAAGGCATGGGCTTGGGTACTGGCACAGTCCTCTTAACCATGTAATTGTTAGAGCACTCTTTGGACTTGTACCAAGTCACAGTCAAACAAAACCCAGGCTTAGCTCAGATGATAACATGAGCCTCGGATCATTCTCAATAGGCGGTGCATACTGTATCAATTGTTTTATTTGTTTGTTTGATTGTTTGTTTTGTTTTGGTGAAAGGAGATGGAAGGAAAGTTGTTTGTTTGGGKTTTTTTCTCCCTTTTTTGGAAGGGGAAGGAAGAATGGGTTTAGCTATGTGAATGTGAGCTGCCGGTTGTCACTTGCCTCTTTAAGTCACAGTCTCTTCAAGTTACTCATAAAGATGCAGCCATTGCAGTCAAAAAGAGAACACCCGATGGCTTTGGTGAGACAAATCCTCTGTGTTTCTGCTTCTTAACTCTCAACAGCAGGGTCACAGGTCTACAAAAGCTGCAGTTTCCTTTTAAGCAAGGATCCAGCATTGTGTAGTCTAGGAATCTTCATTTTGCTGGAGCCTACAAAATACATTATCAAAGTATTATGAAAAAGCATAATACAAGCTGATACATACACAGAGTGAAATGCCATTTCAGTTGTAAACAGCATCTTTTATGGACCAGCAAAAGTAATTTTTAGAAATAGACCAAGACAGTATTTCAGAAAACAATTATGTTAAGCATTTTTTTCTCACAATGTAAGAATAGCACAGTAATAGTAATTAGAAATTAATAGCAATAAAATAGTTGGATGGTTTGAGGATATAACTGAGGTAACATTTTTTGTGGTAAGAGACATTTCTTAAACTTGCTAATATTTTTTTTTCATATTTTGCAGTCTCCTAACCAACTAACAATCTCTGATTATTTTATCCTAGTTGGCTATACTATGAATGATCTGATATTTGAGTGGCTAAGYGATGGCCCTGTGCAAGTTGCAGAAGGTTTAACTTTGCCCCAGTTTATTCTGAAGGAAGATAAAGAGCTCGGTTATTGCACAAAACATTACAACACTGGTGAGCATTATTCTAATTTTTCTATTAATAATTGCATCTAACAGTATCTGCAAATACTATGTAAAGAGATAAAATTGATGAAATGAAAGCAAAGTATTTTGAAATTAACATTTGATTGTTTTTTTAAATCTGAATGAAAAAAAAAGATCCTCTATTTTTTCTTGCCTTTTTAGAATTTTTGGTTCCAAACATCATTTAATTTCATTTTAAAAGATTCTAATTGATTTTAAAATGCAAGATTTAAAGAAAATATTTCCTTAAAATGAAACATTTTTCTCAAAATGAATCTTTTTAACTATTAATTCATCAGTTTTAAAATACTGACTTTTAGAACCTGAGGTATTCAAAGTGCTGCTGAGAAAAATTATCAAAATTTTGACAGTTTTTATGTGTTATCTAATTTGTGAGATATAGTATTTGAAAATATATTGCTTTCATTGATCATTTGAAGAGTTTATAAATATAAAATTTTGAGAAATTAAATGTTTGCTTAAGAATGTATTCTTTATCCCTTACTTGTTATTTAAAAAGTGAAAATGTCTTTTCTATCTTTAACTTTACAGAACAGAAAAAGCTATTTTAAAATTTGGATTTAGCTGCTTGGAGTCTATTTAATAGGGACAGCATTTAGGTATTTTTATGAACGGTTTGCTGGGTGTTTCTTGAGATTAAACGTAATCCTTCTAATCTAAAAGAGCTTTTTCATCATTTCAGCATAAGAGCCAGTCTGGTTGCATTAACTACATTTGTTTCATTCTGTGAAATAACATAACATAAGAGACTCTCCCTTGGTCAAAAATAAAGTCACATTCATTTCTTATGAGAGGATTTTTTTTTCTTTTTTAATTTTTATAACTGCTATTCCTCATTTTGGGGCCCAAATTGATAGTGAAGCAAAATGTTGTGATGCTCTGCTGTGCAAAGGGGGACTTCTGTGACTTCCCATTTTTTTTCGCACTCAAAGGCAATAATAACACACAAAGAGACACACTTGTAATTTCATGGAATCAAAGAATCACGGAATGGTTGAGGTTGGACGGGACATCTAAAGACCATCTAGTCCAACCCTCCTGCTCCAGCAGGAATACCCAGAGCACAGGGCACAGGGCGGCATCCGGGCGGGTTTGGAAGATCTCCAGAGAAGGAGACTCCACAACCTCCCTGGGCAGCCTGTTTCAGGACCTGTTCTTCACAGGAAAGAAATTCTTCCTCACCTGGAGATGGAACTGCCTGTGTTTCAACTTATACTCATTACCCCTTGTCCTGTCACTGGCCACCACTGAGAAGAGTTTGGCCCTTTCCTCCYTACATTCCCCCTTCATGTACTTATACATACTAATCAGATCCCCTCTCAACTTTCTCTTCTCCAGGCTAAACAGGCCCAGCTCGCTTAGTCTTTCCTCATAAATACATGCTCCAGTCCCTTAATCATCTTTGGTGCTCTCTGCTGGACCCTCTCTAGAAGCTCCACAACCCATTGTACTGMGGAGCCCAGAACAGCACATAATATTCCAGTAATTTGGCTGATAGTTTAGCCATTTGCAGCTTGTCATCTAGCTGAACAAAATTAATAAGTTCTTCGGCCTCCTTGCCAGACTATCTGTATTTGCCCAACAAATACAAGTCCGACTTCTCTAAAACAATTAGTTTGACCTCGCAAGTATGAGTTAATGTACACAGGTTATTCTGCCTTTAGCAAGGTCCTCCAGAGAGCAGCACAAGCTGACTGGATTAGCAGCTGATGAGCTGTTCCAGCTTGGGATGCTGCAACACCCACTGCATGACTAGCTCAAGTGTTAGGAGAGCTTAAACTTCTGTGCTCCTCTAACCGCATCGAGAAGGTATTTATTGTTTAAAAATTACTTAACATACACAAGAGTTTTGTGGATTTATTGGACCTAGACTCTTGGCAAAACTCAAAGTAAGCTTTGAGCCGATACTGCTGGAAAAAGTAATCCATGGGCACAGGTAAATGACATAATCAGAATGAAACAGTGTGTAATCTACCTCAGGACCATAAGACTGATGTTTTATAGCTTGTCTATGTAATTAGATGTTTGTCCAATCTTGTGCAACTAAAAGAGCAAAATGTTTTCATCTTTTAATACTAACCATTGTATTAGCTAGTGTAAAATCTTATAAAATTTTGGGAAAAAAAATGTTTTCTGAGACGAAACAACTGTGCTACTATTCATTTTCTCAACTGATTTGAAGAACTGGGCACTTTAAGGGCCATTTTAAGATTTCTGTGGGAATATCGTGTGGTTGTCTCTCAAGATAGAGTGCAAGAAAGGGATGACTCATATCTGTATATCCAGGACCTGTTTTTAGTGCTAGGTTAGAAAAGAGGTCAGGCAGCTAACTTTTGTTCAGGAAATAAGATAAAAATGTGCAAAAAGCATTTATGAAAGTAATTTCATGTTCTAGGAAAGTTTACATGCATTGAAGTCAAGTTTCATTTGGAACGTCAGATGGGATACTATTTAATCCAGATGTACATTCCTAGCCTGCTGATTGTCATTTTGTCCTGGGTTTCTTTCTGGATCAACATGGATGCTGCTCCAGCTAGAGTTGCACTGGGTATCACAACAGTTTTGACAATGACCACTCAAAGTTCAGGATCCAGAGCTTCCCTCCCAAAAGTAAGAAAGTCATTTTATATCACTCGTTTGTTATTGACAAGAAATATTTGTACTGCTTTTGATGTTTCTGAAAGATCTGAGTAAACATACATCTGACAAGAATACCTGATAAACTGGTATGAGTGAGATGTTAAATTGTTGTAAAACCCTTGTGTTTGAGTTGAGGAGGATTTATGTTGGTTTACGGAAGGGCCTGAGGGTTCAAAGTTATGGATTTAGAACTAGTTTGGACACTTGTGCTTCAGAATTTTAGAAGCCAGAGTTTCTAAGGTTTTTATGTTCCTGACTGGATTTCTGAAGTCACTTTCATGAAAATAAGTTTTGAATCTGATTGGGTCCTTTATATSTGTCTTTTCTGGATGGGTAGGCTCCAAAATATCTTGACACAGATATTGCACTTACTACCCTTATTCTACTGTATATTATAGGTATATGTATATATATATGTAYATATAGTATCTGGCTATTTATATGAACACCTGAGTGAAAGATATCTCTGGAGAAATTTTCAGTGACTTACATCTTTCCCTATGTCTATGAGTGCCAATGTCTTTCTCTACTTCCTGGCAGAATTAGTCTGGATTCTAATTCAAGTGTAGTTCCCAATCCTCCATCCTGTCTACCCACATATGGCATCTCTCTCTTGAATTTTGTGTGCTTTTTAAACCATAGACCTAMCTTAGATGGGATCACAGACTGCAGACTATATTGTTTACTTGGGTTGACAGCTCTTCTCAGCGGGGGCACAAACTTGCTTATTCTTCTGGTAGCATTCCAAGACAGATCCATATTTTCATGTGCATGCTCAGGTTTTTTACAATTTCCTAGAAAAGRATTCAGAAGCAAATCAGTTCATTAYAGTGTAAGGGGTCATGAGGTATGTTCCTCCTCTTTGCAGCATCACAAGGACTGGAATCATAAAACTTCRCTGACAACAGTGAAATTGAAATCACAAATACTGTGTGTTTGCATAATCAGGGTCCTTTCTGGAAAGCACTCTGATTTTATTCTACAGTATCACACTTAGTTTCAATCCAAATACTCTTTTTTTTTTTTTTTTTTCAAATGGCATGTAAATAGGATATCTTAAAAAAACTTCATGGATTGTATTACTCTTCTGTTGGTAATGACACTTTAAAATTGGATGAATACAACATTTGTTTCGGTTCCACTTTTTCACTTCTAGATGTATATGTATGCAAAATTTAAAGATAAAAATCCTTCATATATTAATTCAGAATTTCAAATGGAAAATATCTTAACATTGGTGCAGACAATTCAGTCAGTATTGCCAACTGAACACTCTGAATATAAAGTTATATTAGAGATAATTTTGACAAGAAGTATACAGACTCTCTAGGTAGTAAGTTACCAAAGTTACCAAAGATTACATTAATGGTGCAATACTATTGCATGCTGATAAATTCCAAGTTTGTTCCAAATTAATTGGCTTGAAGATTAAAGGTAATAAAATCACCATAGTGTGGATTTACATCCACATTTCCAAAAGGGCCAACATAGCCTACCAAGATSTCCTGCAGTTTTGAAGTGTCTAAAATGCTAACACTTCCTCAAAARTAAAATTCATCATATGCATTTGATTCATTTGAAACATTTCTCCTCTTTGTATTCTACCTTATAGAATACCTTTATATACCTTGTGCAAGTACAGAAGTATGTGTGTACTTGCTGGGTAAGTTTCTGGGTGTATATTGAGTAGAAGGATTGGGAAGATCCAGAATATGCTGACTGTGGCAATTTGCTTATTGAAGAAATTCTTCTCCCCGCTCTGGAGATTCTGGAGGACAGTGWAGCTCTGGCCCCATTCTATCCAATATGTGCTGCTGGGCTTCTTTGCCAGAAACTGGCGCTAAGGAAATGTATCTCACCAAAGAATCCAGCACACATTTCAGGTTACTCCTGCCTGTTACAGTTCCACTCCGTGAATTCAGCTGAGTTGTTCTGTACAGCTGTCATCTCTGTATATAAGAATATCTTCACTGGGACTTAGAAAGTACCGTAAGTGACCTAAAAATGTGATTCTTAGAAGATGCTGGCATATGTACCAGTTGGCTCATATTTTAGATGGCTCAAGTGCCTGAATGTTTGCAAACCCATTTCCCATTACCAGTGAGACATTCTATAAGAAGAAATGGGTTTTTATTGCAGTTAAAGGTGCATAAGTATTTCAAAACCCCATGTGCAACTTAATATGAAAATTGTATTTCTTATCTGTGCAGCTGAAATGCACCTAGAAATAAAAGTATGAAAAGAATTGAATGAAATCAGTATTAGAGCTGAACTTCCCAAAAGGCTCTTTAAAAGTAGTGTTTTTCAAAATCTTGTCTATATATTGTCAAGATACAGGAAGTTAGGCTGTCAATAGAATATCCRTTTTAAAAATTGCTTCAAGCATGAATATCTAACAGAATAAAAGAAGACAGAAGCATTATTTTTGCAACAGCTCTGAAAGAAAAGATGTAACCTTAATGTGTAAAAGCACCCCAGATTTGAATACAACATTTGTTTTTCTATCCTTTTTTATTAAATTGTAGCTTCCCTCATTGTGCATGTGTATTCTTATTAATACATATTTAAAAAACTTTATTTGAATCATTGTTGTTAGTTTTTTTTCTCTGTTTTATAAAGGCTTGTCACAAAAAATATTTAATATTAAAACTTTAATGACAATTTAGTTAAAAAGGAAAAGAAGAAAATGCACTTTAAGAGATTCATAGGTAAGGTTTTCCATTCGCTTCCCAAATTATTGTCTAAATGATGAAAAATACTACTATATAGAAGTAGTTACACACATATTGTTCTCATCCCAATTGTTCTTCTACATATTAATAAGTAATATTAAATTTGATGCATATTTTTCATAATGGTAGGGCATGGCAGACTTTAGGTATTCAACTATTGAAAATTAAGCATGAGCCTGAGGCTCCCAGCAAAGCAAGGCAAGAGAGAAAAAGAGAAGAGAAGGAAAAAAAAAGAAATTAATTCCAGCTGAGGCTTGTTTTTGCTGCATGTAAGTGAATCATTTAAAAAGCTTCTTCCAAACAAAAGATAATTATTTGTTTTTGTTTTATTATTACTTCTGTGGAATTCTTATCTTTAGAGTGTATGAAAATGCTGGGTAAAAATTTAGGGTGAAATTCTGATAAGAGTAGCACAGTATTTAAAGACATCGATAGCATCTTCTTAAATAAAGTTGAATTTTGGTTACAGAAAGTAGCTATAAATCGCGGCAGGCTTTCCCATGGGAGATCCTAACGAAGCTACTTTTCCAGGAGGCAAAATCTACAGTAYCTGTTTCAGAACTCAGACAGAATCTATTGCTCTACAGTTTGACAAAATTAGAGCAATACTAAGTCCTGCTTCCTCCATGGAGATAAAATAATGATTTTCTACATAGCGAATAACAGCAGAGAAATACTGTGCCTTTTTGGGAAGTGACAAAGTAATATTGTGTTTGTTCCAGCAGACTGGTGAAGGATGCTGCGACCATATGTCACCTTTATATGTCACCCTTACCATCACATATGTCACCCTTACCATCAGTGGATCTGTTATAGAGTTAACGGTTACTCATCCAGAAAGGTGGGGTAGAATAACTCTTTCCCTCCACTTTGGCTAATCCATTTCTGGGACAGCCAGGAATGGCTGGATACATAGGATCATTTCCCTTTCCTACGCATTCACTTATATAATCCTTGTCCATATTTGACACTCTATATCCAGGCTCTTCTGGAAACATCATCACTTGTACTTGGAAATTTTGGCTAGATGGATGTCTGTCCACCCAACTACAGCTCCCTGTAGCTCTTGCTAATTAGCCATAAGAACAGAAATCCTGGATGTGATCAGGGTAATCAGCTTGACCACATGTCCACATTGAGATTGCCAGAAAAAAATGAATTTTGCAAGTCCTGTGTAGGAGCCCAGGAGCTCACTTGCATCTTGAGTAGTCTTGACTTGTGTGCAGCAGATTCTATAGCATGCAAATCAGGCATCTGATGTAACCTAGTACTGCAGAAGATACCTAAATTCATGCAATATGTGGAATGTGCTTAGATCCAATGCCTTCTGGAAGAAGAAACACTACACAAGCATGATGGTATCTATTTATCAGCAGATTAACTGAGGACATTATGACAGATGTATAGACATAGAATATGCTGCTACGTACTTTATGTTTCCAGCATTGTGTAGGCTGGAGGAATAAAGAGGAATTTATCAAGGTACGGTAGTGAAGAAATGTCGAGAAATGGTAGAAAACATCTTTTGAGTATTGAATTATTAATCTCTTGCTAATATATTCATATTAGCTTCCCTTCAGTTGAGACAACAGAATCAAAAGTTTTAAAATGCTATAGACAATGGTATTTGAAAGAATAGTGAGTTCTTTGCTGTTATAGTAATTGAATATGATTTAGGTTGCTTTCTTCTTAAAACATAGATAGAAACTAAACCTTCGCAACAACAGTCCAAGAAAGGGAATTACTTTTCAAGCCATAAAGCAAAACATTTGAGGATAGTTTAAGTCAAGTAAGTGATAGCAATTGTATTTTACACAGGTGTGTAGCATTCATATTGTGTTACTTTCATGCATACTGCTTAATGAATGTAAAAGTTCCTTCCCCAGGGAGCACTCTGAACTGAAAAAGTCTCATTCAAAGCTCACTGAAACCACTGGAATGCTTCCATTCACTTCATTGTGCTTCAGATCACTAAATCCAGTACTAAACGCAATAAAAGTATTGTATTCTAGTAGGCATAGCTCTAGTAGGCGTAGTAGCTTGCAAAACTAAAATCAATGAAATATGGCAATAAACTTCGACAGTAAACTAGAGTTTTTGCACATCACCTTCATCCTCAGCACTTTATTTTTKTTTTTTTTTTTTTTTTTGACCACTTTTCAAGATTCCTGGGCTTTTGGCAGATCAACCTGAGAAGTAATTTGTCTTTTTTTTTTTTTTTTTTTGAGTATGAGAGTT